ATTTTTAAAATATTAATATTATTATTATAAATATATTATGATATTTATTATAATTAATGTGTATTTATATTTTTGTTCATAAAATATGCAATAATTGTGTTTAATAGAAAATACAATAGTTTTTATTTATATTTAATGTATATTTACATTTTTGTCCATAAATATTACTCCCTCCGTTTCACAAAGAATGACCTCCTTTCCTTTTTAGTCAGTTTCAAAAAGAATGACCTCTTACTTTTTTGGTAACAATTTACTTTTTGCTTTCCACGTGGCATGTTTAAGACCACAAGATTAAGGGCAATTTTGTACATTTGACTTAACTTTAATTTAGGACCACAAGATTCAAAAGTCTTTTTTATTTACTTAAACTCCGTGCCAAGTCAAACCATGTCATTCTTTGTGAAACGGAGGGAGTATGATATTATAAGGACATTTTTGTAATTCAACTTTTGACATAGAGATTTCCCACTTATAATATAATATGATATTGCATGTGTTGGATAAAAATCGGGTGGTTCAATGCCTTTAAAATTGAGGCATACGTCTCAGGCCCCAAAATTTAGGGGACCTCATCTTTCTGTAATAATAGAATTGTTATTAGTTTTTTTTTAAAAAAAAATTACTACTATATCTTTCTATTTATTTGTCTTTCTTTTTTAGTTAGTTTTAAAATATTAAAGAATAGTTTTTTTCTTGTTTGTCAAATTTTAAATTTAACTTTCCATCACATGTTTAAGACCACAAGATTAAAAGATATATATATATATAAAATTTAGCTTAAGATCACAAGATTAAAAAATCTTCCTTACTTTTTTACGTGTCAAATTAAAATCAGACAAAATATTAGAACGAATGGACTATTATTTATAGAAAACGTAAACTTTTTTCATTAAAAATAAGAAATAACTTTGCATCTCAAAAATAATTTTAAATATACTAACAATTTTGCATCTTTTAAAAAACTAGAAGAATAAACTTTAAATATATATAAAAATAAAGTTTAAAACCTCCAATTTATTTTTATTTTTACTTTTAGGCCGGTTATTAGCTTGAACCGCTAAAAGTTGTTAGAAAATGAAAATAAATCATTAATGTATTTTGTGAAAAGCAGTTTTCTCAGTTTATTTTTATTTGTTCAATACTTTAAAAAAATAGACTTTCACTTTTACTTGTTACTTTTAACTTATCAAGTAAATATAAATATGTATCTCGTTTTCTTATTTTACCCTTAACATTAATTATTTATTTTTGAAATTATTTTAAAGAGCTAAAACTATACCTCAATCAATATTTATATTAATTATTATTTCTTAAGATGCATACAAAATCAAAAGTGGACAAATAAAAATAAATAGAAGAAGAAAATATATGCTAAATGTTATAGGTACTTATATATCTATCTATCTATCTAACTCGATTTAATTCCCTAAATGGTCACCCAAGTTTGGGGAATTGCCTTGAAATATCATTTATGTTTCACTTAGGACCAAAATATCACCCAACTATCACTATTTTCCTCCAAATATACTTAACACTTTAAAAACTTTACTCTCTCCTAGTTGTCATGCCATGTTATTAAAGTCTTTTTTAAAATAACAGACTTATTTATTTTTATCATAATTAAACTTTTTTATTTTTTTATGTTATAAAAAAATAGGGTTTTAAAATATATTATATTGTCATCAATTTTGAATACTTATAAACACATATATTCAAATAAAATATTGGTATACAAATCACTCATAAATGTTAACTTACATCAATTAATCATAAATTGTATAATGAATCAATAATATTAAATGTCAATTAACTATTACAATAGAATTAATTGTGTACTTTGAAAATCATGCTTACAATATTTCTTTTTTAAAAAAAATAATAGAAAGTGAATAATATTATTATTAATTTTTTTTCCAAAAAAAAAAAACTAAATGCCTCAAAAGTCTCCTTCTATTCTAGTTGATATGACATGCCATTAAATCATCATTTTTTTTTAAAAAACAATAGACCTATTTAATTCATTAAATTTATGCCTCTACAAAATAAATATATAAATTACGTGAAAATTTATGCAAATTATAAAAAAATACTTTTAATATATCTAATTCCTTCATATTTTCAACCAAACAAAATCAGTGAATTTTTTTGTGTGCAATTGTTACCTGAGAATTTTTTAAATCTCTTTGAAAATTTGAAGTAATTTTTTCATAAAAGTATTCAAATAAATTTGTAAGGTTGACAAAATAGTTGGTAAAAAGGAGAAATTTATTATTTAATTTTCATCAGTGATTTTTATATCAATATTTTTTGAATATATGTGTTTATAAGTATTCAAAATTGATGACATTATAGTAAGTTTTAAAAAAACTATTCTTCATAGCATAAAAAATAAAAAGTTAATTATGATAAAAGATTTTTAAGTATGAATTTTCTTCTCAATAAACTAATATATGTAATTAAAAATAGTAAGATCATTGTTTTAGTTAATTGAGTTTAATGAATTAAATAAATCTATTATTTTTTAAAAAGGCTTCAATGACATGGCATGTCAAGTAGGAGAGAGTGGGGCTTTTGAAGCGGTAAGTATATTTGGAGAATATTTTGATCCTAAATAAAGCGTAAATGATATTTCAAGACAATTCTCTAAACTTGGGTGACCATTTAGGGAATTGACTCTATCTAACTTTGTTACAGATGAGGAAGTTAATACTATGTGGCTTATCCTTATTTTCCAGTCTGTTGACAGGTTGGGAGCATGCATTTTGCTGTAACTTGAATTGAGAGAAAGCCTTAGAATTTACTTTTACATTCAATATTTCACATGCAATATAGCACTGTCTATTAATTGATTTATTTTTTTCTTTTTTGTTGTATTTCTCTTTTTATTTGAATTACTTGTCGATTCACCTATTTCAAGGAGAATTCATAATTTAAAATTTATAGATTTTTATATTAACTTTCAGTTAATATTATAATAATAATTAAATTCACCACCAATAGTATGAAATATTTAATTTGGCCTCCTTTATTTTTCTTTATTTTTGCATGCGCCATTGACTAGATTTTAACGTAATCCTTTATACTTTAGTAAGAAGACCTTTCAAAGATCTTGTCTGTTGGATGCTCAGAATTTTCAACTACTGATGTAAAACGTGTTAATTTTCAAGTACTTCTTTGTCCCTAATTATTTGTTCACTCTTTTTTATTAATCCCTAATTACTTATTTATTTTGATAAATCAAGAAAAGATAAAAAAAATAAATTATCGATTATATTCTCATTAATTACTTTGAAAAATGTAGAATTTTTTGAAAATCTTAAGTTTTTAATTCATCAATTTCATAATTAATAGGGGTAAAATGGTAAACTTACTATGTCATTAATTGTTTTCTTAATAGATGTGTCAATTCAAAAGTGAACAATAATTAGAGACTGAAGAAGTAAATTACAATTGGGTCAATGCCTTGCTTCGATATTAAGGAATATTATTGAGCAAAGGTTCACAACTAAACCATAAGCTTTTGTTAATGCATCACCTTTTCCCTTCCCAAGAGTACTCAAATAAATTTTGGACTACAATTTTCAACTAGGAGTATACATTTTTCTTTTAAAATTAAGTGCAACTTATAGTGGAGTAGTATTTTTTGTTCAAAAATTTTGAGTTGAATTAATTTTAAAATTAAATCAAATTAACTCTTGTTAAACATAAATTGGAACACCGCAAGAGTACTTCTATATCATGATATTTGCACTTATATTATAACCTGAATAACGCTAAGTTACCATCTACAACATGTTAATGCATTGAGGGGTCGTTTGGTACAAAACTTAATAACGCAGGGATTAGTAACGCAGAGATTAGTAATGCAGGGATTAGTAACGCTGAGTTTATTTTTATCAAGTGTTTGGTTCATTGTTTCTCACCTCATCTTGTGTTTGGACTAAAACTCTATAAAAAAAATTCTTTCCAATTATACCCTTGATTTATTATAAAATTGGGTCAAGGTAGATAATTACCAAATAATATTTTTTTTTAAATGACCTTCTAACTAGATAGGAGAAGAACACTTTTATTGTCATGTTTGCAATTTTTTCACTTGAATTATTTGAAGATAAATAATTGTCATCTTAATAAACACATATGCGGCTTTTAAAGATGTTAGTGGGGAGGAATTCTTTAGGTGATTATTAGATATGTTCTCTCCAATAAAGTATATTTTAGTTAATGTAGAAGTTCATAATCAATTCTACACATATGGTTATTTTGCAGAGAGTTGTTGGATGATACAGACTCGAGTGGCATATTACTCTTCAATGTTTAATGTCATTTTCTTCATAAAATTTTGATCAAATACCTCAACCTTTTGAAATATATATATATATAAAATAAACAAAATAATGAAAATAATTTGAGGGATATTTTTATTTTTTCATAGATTTAATAATACATTCAATTAAGATCACAAACGTCATGTGGTGTTATATTTATCTTCTTAATTAGTAAATGTTAAACAACCAAATTTCAAAATATTGCATTGATTTGTATTGGATTTCTTTAGTAACAAACAACTTTCTCTAAATAATTTATAAGCTAATTTATTTAAATAAATTAAACTAGTACAAATATAAAAAAAATAAAAAATCAAGAAAATAAACAAAATAATCAAAAAATGATTTGAGGGATAAGCCTAAAATTCTACCAAACATAATACTAAATAGTACCATACATAATACATGGATTATTTCTCTTAATACCTCCTACCAAATGACCCCCAATAGTATAAACTTCTTTGCACCAAGTTGAATCGGTGGATAATATATTTACAATGCTATGAATTCTTAAGAGGTGTTTGTACTTGCAATTTGAATGTCAAATTTGAAGTTGTGATTTGAAATTTGAATTCATTTATGACATTTTGCAAAGCTTTAGTTTCATTTTGAAATTTTGTTTCAAATTTCACCTTCAAGGTATTGATAGTTTCCACAATACTGTTTGTGTCATTATAAGCATTTTACTAATAACACAAGAACATGACACAATGTGTGGGACGACAATGTTAATGCACTAACAAAAAAAAAGAAGAAAGGAAGATACATAAGAGTACTAATACTATCTAAAGTAAATAAGACTTTTGAGCTTCTGTTTGACCATAGATTTTGAAGTTGAAATTTGAAAATCTGAGTTCTTGAACTTGCGTTCTACTTGGAAAAAGTTGTGAGTTGAAGTAAATTTTCTCACTAGTGTGAATCAGTTTTTGGGAACTGAAAAATATTTAAAACTCAAGTTTCATTCGTGGTTGTGATAAAAAAAAATCTATAGTCAAACGCTAACTAATAGACTATAATGTCTACTTCCCTTTGCCCATCCAAATACTTTTCCTAACCTTATTACCACCACCATTGGATGCACCTTTAGTTCCTTTTGCAGCAATGATAGACTCTTTCACCTTATCTTGATCATCATTTTTGTAACCATTCTTCATTGAACTTTTGGCTTTGTTGCTAATAAAACTGCCATTCTTTTCCTTCCCCTTTTCCTTTGAATTCTTGAAATTAACCATAGTAGCAACACCACCACTCTTCCCATTTCTTGAAAAATTACTAATTGGTCCTGAAGATGCATCAGAAGCCATTGAATCATCAGTCTCACAATCCTCATCGTCTTCATTAACGGGACCTTCTTTGTTATAATTACCGTCTTCTAATTCATCAAAATCCCCAATATTGTCATCACCAGTTGAAGGAGAACCAATGTACATTGTCCATCCAGATTCACTGCTGTTACATTCTTCACCTTCTCCAAAGAATTGGGAATTAGAATCCATAGAAACAGAGTAAGTGCAAGAAACAGAGCAATAATAATTAGATGAGCTAAAGCCTAAAAGACAGAACAGAAGAGTAAAATATGAAGGCAAAAAGAAACACTTTTTTTTAATTAATATACAATACAGCTCTCACACCACACAAATAAGAAGAACGTGGCAGATTTTTATTACTATATTTTTGAAAGCAACCGCAAACCCCTGTATTTAATTTTTGTTCTCTCTTTAACACCTGGACTGGACAAAATGTACATATAGCCATTATTTCACCTGACTTTACATCACATACAGGGACAGATAGAAGCTGTCAAAGATATTCATAGAGAAACAAGTTTTTATAAAAAATCAAATAAGGTGGAATGAATGAGATCCTTTTATTTTTAATTAAATATTTTGGATTCAAGTCATGAGAATGGTGCAACTCTGGTTAGAGTGTTTTTTCTTCGGTGGGCTACACTATACTGTGTGAATTTGAATTAGTTGGATTACAGAGAAAAACACATAAAGTAAAAAAAAGCATAAGGTATAAACATGTCATGTAACTTGGTCTTAGCTCTATGTCCTTCAACTTGAATTTGCATAAGTAGATAGTTGAACTTGTATAAATTTGAACAAGTAGATACATGTGTCCTATGTAGCATAATATACATAGGATACCATGTCGGATGCAAATTGGCCATGTAAGATTAGACACCACATAGGACTCACATATTTACTTGTTCAACTATATACAAGTTTAAGTATCTATTTGTGTACAATCAAAGTTTGGGGCATATATGTAAGCTGAAGTCAAATTAAAAGACATATTTATCTATTATATGTTAAGTTCAAGCCAATAGGAAATGAAGAAACTCGTAATAGGAGCATCTTCTACTTTAGTGGGTTACAATGGGTGAATTCAAATTAGTCGAGTGAGTAAGTTTTAAATATGTTTTTTTTTTAAAAAAAAGACAGATTGCATGAAACACGCCCAAAATTTACCTTTTAGTAAATGTGAAAGGACAGAATTGGGGCTACTCTGAAGAGAAGATATAAAATCTTTACTACTATTATTTTGAATACTGAACATGACTCATTAATAAGAAGCTGTATACTTTGAATGCAAAATACAGAGAGAGGTGCACAGTCTATGTGCTATGCTACTGAGAATAATGTATATTGTATTATGTACGTTGCTCCATTCATTTCAATTTAAGTGTCTTTTTTTTTTTTGCTTATATTTAATAAGTTTTTCAAAATTCAACATCCCAGGTGGCAAGTTTAATATAAAAAGATTTAAAGTATCACATACATATTTAATTTAAGACTATAAAATTCAATAACCTTTTTTTTATTTCTTAATTATGTGTCCAATTGAATTAAGACGCGTAAATTAGGACAGAACGAGTATATAATATAATATAGTCATACTGAAACTCCTCCAGGCCTCACTTATTTGTAACTTGGTGATTTCTAATGTCATGTCAAATAATAAAACAAAAGGCATGCGAGTAAATGAAAATGCAGCTTTTTCTCCAACTGGAGTTGTTTGTCTTCTAATAATAGTCTTCTCAACAAGCAGTGAAGTTTTGTGCAGGGAGCCAAATACAAGGTACTCTCTAACTGTTGGATATTTTAAAATAATTTATGACATATTTTGGACTCTATTAATTTGTGACATAAGCACTTATGTCATTAAGTTAATGGACTAATATGCTTATGTCATTAAACTTAATCTCCAAGTATTAATCTATTTTGTCCCCAAACTTAACTCCTTTGTCTCCAAGTAATGCTCCCTTTGCCTCCTAGTAACATTGTGTAATATGTTTTACTCCACTGCCAATGCTCCTCTATATATAGTAGTTGATGGAGTTTTGAGGAGTGACAACCAAGTGAAGAGTAAGACTTAGCCAATTTCAAATATCCTCTTCCGATTTGCTTTATTTTGTAGTATTTATATTTTGTTGATTCATGTGTCCTCTAATTAATTAGAGAAGACTTGTTTAATCCTGGGGAAATATTTCACACCGCTGAAATAGTTTCTTAGGATAGTGCCTAGCACGACTCAAGTATTATATATATATTACTTAAGAATATTATTGTAGTAGTATTTATCCTAATTCTTGTATTGTTATTTTGATATTATAATTTCCCCATCTATATATTTTCCAACACTAACTACTACCACAGTTCATTTTTACCTATCTATTATACTATTTTGAAATTTTCAATAATATTTATCCTGTTTAAATATTATTCATTTTTAAATTTTTGGATAAGGGTGATTTAGTTTGTTTACTCTGCTTCTTAATTCTTGTGTCAAGTGAATAATAAACGATTATTATTGAATATACGAAATAGTTAACTTCTTTCTTTTTTCTCTTTTGGGACAATCGGTATTCAGAATTGATTGACTCAATTAATCTTGATTTGCATTGTGTATGCACATCAGAAGAAGGAGAAGCACTGCATCCAATCCAATAAATACTTGCCACCATCAGATGTTTTACACCAAACTATGTAAATTTATGGAAAAATCTTTTTGGCCAAAATTTGGCCAGAATAATATTTTATCTTTTGAATTATTTTTACCTTTTTAACTTTAATACTCCCTCCGTCCCTATTTAGTTGTCCATATTTCCTTTTTTAGTTGTTCCTATTTAGTTGTCCATTTTGACAAATCAAGAAAGGACAACAAATTTTTTCCTATTATACCCTTATTTACACTTCTTGAAAATTGTAAAAGTGTATGTTGTTTCCCTCCAATTTATTTCATTTGAATTCAAAGAAGTGATTGTAATTTTGAAGTGAAAAGTTGTCATAAGGGTAAAATTGTAACTTCACTGTGCTAATCATTGTTGCCTTAATCTGTGTGCCATTTTTAAAGTGAACAACTAAAAAGGGACGGAGGGAGTACCTTTTAACTTTAATACCTTTCAAGAAAAATGACATCCCACAAAAAGCCAAAAAAGTAGGTCTTCCTACTATATAACATGAATAGCAACAAAAGATTCATATCATTAAAGGTAGTAATAATATTTTTGGACTTTCAGATCTAACTAATTTGCCAGATCATCAACTAAGATTGCCATTTGCCAATATCACAATTGGAAAAAAAATTATTACTAGTAACATGTAATACTTGTTTATAAAAGGAAAAAGGTTTAAAAATCATAATTGTGATGCATTGAACAGAAAAGATAACTTTTTTTTTATTCATGTTTTATCCTTAACATCAAATATTATTCTTCATATCATTTTTCAAGATAGCCACCCCAAATAGGCTCTGCAGTGCGTGATCCAGATTTAGTCAGGGCTCCAATGTGGACTTCGAATATTAGATGGGAAACCAAAAAAAAAAGGATAGTGTGGTAAAATATCTATATAAATAAATGTTTTTTTAATGGGTGTGTCAAATCAAACAATGACAAGTAAAAATGAACGAAGAGAGTAACTGATTAAGCTAGTGTTTGACTATAGATTTTGACTAATTTTTCAAACTAGCTTTTGGACTTTCACTTATAAAACTTCAAATTTTGATCAAAGAAAATACATGTCCAAACACAATTTAACGTTCCTAAAATACAAAGTAACTTCAAAAATTCAAATTTGCAAGTTTCAAACTCAAAATCTATAGCTAAACCGGAGCTAAGAAACCGAATAAACTAGAACAATTTAGTCACCAAGGGGTAAGTAAAAACTTACCCAAAATTGGATAATTACGTCAAGTCGAGAGATGTATAATTATGTGTTTTGGCACTTAACTTTGGTTAATTAACATGGAGTATATTTTTATCTCGCTCGCCACTCTCCCAAATCTCGCTCTCTCACTCGCCTGTCTCACTTTATACAAAAAACGCAAATTGTATAAAATGCGTTTGTGTTTGTATAAAGCGAGAGAAAATTGTATATATACATATATTTTCGTTCCCCTCTCTCCCATCTTCCAAATCTCGCTCGCTCACTCGCCTCTCTCACTTTATACAAAAAACGCAAATTGTATAAAATGCGTTTGTGTTTGTATAAAGCGAGAGAAAATTGTATATATACATATATTTTCATTCCCCTCTCCCAGATCTCGCTCGCCACTCTCCCAGATCTCGCTCTCTCACTCGCCTGTCTCACTTTATACAATTGACCTTTTTGTATATGTATACCAAAAGCAAATTATACAACTGTTTTTTTTATATGTATAGCGAAATATACATATTTATGTTGCTATGGAAGCGCAAATTTATGCAAACTTTTGATATAGCATACAAATATGAATTTTGTGTTTGCTATATGTGAAAGTTGCTCTTTTAAAAATAGTTGTTCAACAATATTTGTCCAGTTTAGAAAATCAAGAGATAATTTACATTTTGTGTCTATTTTATCCTTATTATTAAATATTATTTATCATCTAACACATTTTTCAAACCATTAAATTTAATAAAGTCAAAAGATAAAATAGTAGAGTAATTTTACTCTATTATTTATTGACTAGTAAAATTACCCGCGCTTCACGCAGGAATTTAATATCACGAAATTTATAAAATAATACTTAAAACCTATCAATCACTAAAACTAAAACACTATATTATCTTACATACAAGATTACGAAATAACAAACATTAATAATGTAAAGGAAAATGAAAATTATTGCATCTTATCTTTTATCCTTAATAACATAAGCATAAATTAATGATTGTAAAAATACATACCAAGATATGTAACATAATTAATGGTGTCAGTGAGTCACTCAACATAAGCACAATACACAAATATTTAATTGTGAAGAAGAAGAGGAGGTTCAGAATTTTCGTTGTTTAAAATGAGAGGAAATTCCTCTATTTATAGACCAAAAAGGGTAGTGTGAACAAATGTTTATCGTGCCTTATCGGAAAGGTTACAACTATTTGGAAAAGTTGCAACCCTTCGGAAAGGTCGCAACCTTTCATAAAAGTCATAATTTTTCATAAAAATCACTACTCTTCATTAAACTCACAACTTTTCATAAAAGCTGCAACTCTTCATTAAAGTCGCAACTTTTCATGAAAGGGGAAGGCTAGTTTGGAAATAAATAAATTAAAAGGAAATTCTAGTTTGTGGTGGAGCCACGT